AATTCCCAGTAAATATGCTTGATGATTTTTTCTATGTCCTTCATTAAATGTGATGCCCGGAAAAGAACTCGATATTCTAAGCATGAAGTAGATGAGAACTTTCACCTTGGTCATTCCAGATCTACATGTCCATTGACGTGCCCCAAGATTGCCTTGGTTTTAATTCTGTTTTGTACCACTGACCTGCTGGAACACATCTCAGATAACCTCCGCTGGTGTCCTTTTTCAGATCTAGATGCTCAGATGGAGAAAACAGGATTCAAGCTTATTCTTCCCTAATGAGAACAGCTGTGCCCTCTTTAAAAAAAAAAAAGTGTCACCAAAATGCAAACAATGCCATGCATAAAAAACTGGATAAAATAAACAAAAGTACTGGGCCAACTCCTCAGGTTTCACAACCACTGCATTTTTCTTCAGGGTGGAGGACAAGGAAAATGATTATGGTAAGTTTCCCTAGAATTGCTTTGGTCTCTTGCATCACATGGCTGAAGACACCTAGACTATTAGCAAATACTGAGCGCTTGGGCAAAAGACACTCCCTGCAATCATACTTCCCACTAGATTTCTCAAAGACTTAAACAAATCTGAGTAGGCGCAGGATCCCAAGCCTGGGATAGAGGGACGTGGTGAAGAGAATCTACACCTGCGAGCCAAGCTGACTTAGCAGGTGGGGCAAGCGGTGGGAGAGGAGGATGCTGGGAAAGCCCTAGGGCCCTGGGATGTGTGTGTAATCTGTCCTCATCCTTCCCACATCCCACTCGGCAGAGTGGTGACGGGCCACTGCATCTGGTGTCAGATAGATAGCTAGGGTTAACGCTCTGCTTTGCCCCCTAGTAGCTAAGTGACCTTGAGCAAGTCACTTAGCCTCAGTTTCCTCATCTGTGACATTTGTGAAGATCAATTAAGATTCTGTGTGAAAGACGTTTGCAAATTACTCCGTCCCGTAAAAGTGAGGGATTATCATTGGCAAAAAGGATTTTCACCCCTCCCTTTGCATGTCATGAGGGTTGACTTTTCCTGACGTTTTCTCTTCCCAGGCTGCTTCTGATGGTTCTTTTAACTGGATTATTTTCTTTTTTGAGGGAGGATGGGGAGGCATGTAGCATGACTCATGCCACCCTAAACCCTTCCTAAAGACTATCCTAAAAGAAGTGCCCTCAGAGCCATCTGGGGTCACCCCAAAGCAATTTACCTTCAAAGAACCAAAGCTATTGTCACGCAAAAACAAGCACATCTAATACCTGTGGATACCCTCCGCTCTCTGGAAATCCGACGCAAGTTATTTAAGGTTTGTGATTCACTCAGGTCACCGAGTAGCTTTTCATTGGCCTTAGTTTTTATGTTCTCAAGTAATATGAGCTATGCTCACATTAACTCACACAGGCCACACAAAAGACAGACAAACAACAAAACCAAACACGGGAATGCACTCCAGAACCAAATAAGGAGTTACTCTGCTGCTCGCTAAAGTGTCTATGCCTGAGTCCTTAGCCATCTTCGTTTCCTTAATGGAAAAAAAGAATCTTATGAGTCAACTTTCTCATCGTGAGCTGATCTAAAGAGCTTGTCGCCCTGTGTTTCAAATGCGTAAGCAGTCCTATTTCTGCACAAGGTGGAAATAAAAACCAGTGACAGCCCAAGGGAGAGATGGAACAATGGGAGAACACACACTTCCAAACAGAACCGTGAAAAGATGGGAAGAAGCGCTCACGTGTAATACAACTGGATTTTTTTTTTCTTTGCTTAATTCGGTGTTAAGCATCTTGGCTGCCCTGGTTTAGGGTGAGGGAGGGGGTGCCTCTCAGCAAATGAGCCCAAAACCTTAGCATTAGGTGACAATGGTCTGGAGGGCGGTCTGGCTACAGCAGTCTGGTCCCTGACAGCTGTTGGCTTGCCTCCAAATGCTGACTCGCCTCAGGGACAGCCTGCATGTCAAGCACCTCACCTGTGCCAGCTCAGAGGTGAGTTCCTGCCCAGTCTGCAGGCTGGCACCCTGGCCTCACACTTAAGCACAGTCACAGGAGCTGGCTGGTGCCCACTGCCAAACCCTCTTCCTCTTCCCAAATCCAATCAACGTACAACCCAGGGAAACCCAGACCCCACCAAGGGGCAACTCGCACCCAGCTCCAGAAAGACCGCATCCTGTCCTTTCCAAGCCCCTGGACGCTGGTGCAGGCCACCCCGAACCAGCTGTTCCAAACAGCCTGTAACACTGTGTCGGTAGTGCTGGCCCCTCTGCGAAGCTCCTCCTGCTTCCTGAGCCTGGGGAGGAGGGGGCCCTGGGAAGGCACAAGCTGAGCCCTTTCTCCTTGGCCCCCAGGAGCAGAGGGACAGCAAACTTAAAATCCAACACACAGCACAACTTGGCAAATGTCTTTCCCATCCCGGTCCCACGCACCCCTCCCCAGCACGCCCTTCCAGGAGTCGAGGCAGGGCGGGGGGGGGGGGGGGGGGGGACCGGCCCCACCCCCAAGCCACCCGGCGACACCCTCAGCCCCCCGGGAGCGGGGCCCCCTTGCCCCCCCCCCCCCCCCCCACACACACACAGGTATCGCACTGCTCCTGACACGGTGGGCTCCTGCCCCGCCTTCCCATTTCCTGCAGAAACCCCAGAGGCCCTCGACCCCACCCCACGGTCCCTCACCCGCCGGTCCCTGGGCGCTCCAGCTGTCGCCCCTCGGAGAGCCCCCTCGCCGCCGGGAGAACCCGGCACGCCTTCCCCTCTCGGCCCCTGGCAGGGTCCCCTCTCACCGCGGCGGGGGCCGGCCGGCCGGCCGGGCAGACGAGGAGCGAGCGCGCGCCGTCGGGCTCGGGAACGCGGCCACTGCTCCGGCCCCAGAGCCGGGTCCTTCTGAGGCGCCGGCCAGCGCGAGCTGTCAGTCAGCTGGCCGCGCCCGCCCCCGCCCCCGCCCACCCCGCAACCCCCGGTCCCGTCTGCGCAGGCGCGGGGCGGCCCGGGAGCGGCGTCACGTGACGGGGCGGTGCGGCTGTCGGCGACCGGACCTCCCGAGGGTTTCGGTCCAAGTCCCGCGTCGCTCGGGCCTGGGGTCGCCCCTCGGCGGGAGGCCTCGTCCTGCGGCCCTGGCACGCTCGGGGACTTCCCGTTGTTCGCTCTAACAGGGTCCCGGCAGCCCCGTTTGCTGGATCTGCTCAAAACTAGGGTGTTCTCCCAGGCGGGGCAGAGCTGGGTGCGCGCAGGCCGCTATGCAAACAAATGAGTGGGTGATTTGGTGATTTTGGAGGGGGGAGCCCCGGCAGGGAGCCAGAAAGTATGGCCTGATAATGGTTGCTTGCCCGCCGTGGTATCCGCACCTTTAAAACAAGGATGCCCTTTGCCATTTCCTCCTCGCCTATTTCAGAGTTAGGGTGACGTCTTGACATTAACGAGCATACTTGTAAAACAAGTCAAGCGAGGATGTATGGAATAGAAGGGCAATTTGAGGCCGATTGATTTTTTGAAAGGGGGCTTCTTAAAAGCTGATGGATTCCACCTCCTGCTCTGAAACGTCTAGGCCAATCAGCATCTTTCCACCAGATACAATAAACACAATTTTCAGGCTGTCGGGTTTGGGTTTCTTCCACGTCTCTTCAATTCAAACAAACAAACCAAAACCACAAAAGGTAAAAAATAAAAGTATCTCCTAGGGGAGCTTTTTCCGTTCTAGAGCAAGTACAGAAATGTAAACTGACACCCCCTCCCAGTAATTTTGCAGTTATGGCAAACTTGGTTCCAGCACCTAGCAAAACAGTGTGGGCTCTGACGCCTCAAATTCTCTAAAGGCATTTCCAGAGCTACACTGCAGAACTACAGTGCTCCTTCTGGGGTTGGCTGTATGACATAATAAAGCTCTACCTTTAAATGAATGCCCTGGTATCTGAACTAGGGCAGACTGTCAATTTCAGAAAACTGGGGGTTCTCCGAAGTCCCAGCAGTTAGGCAGAAGGAACTAAAGATCTGCCATGTAGGAGAAAAGATGACATATGGATTGATGATCAAGTGTCTTTCCTGTGCCCCAAGCATGGAGCTGCTGATCGCTGGGAAGTTGGCCTATTGAACTTAAAAGACTTTCTGGGAGGGGGGACTTCCCTGGCAGTCCAGTGATTAAGACTCCCTTCCCCACTGCAGGGGGCATGTGTTCGATTCCTGGTTGGGGAACTAAGATCCTGCATGCCCGTGTGGTGTGGCCAGAAAGTTAAGAAAAAACTTGTTGGGGGAAGTTAAAGGCACCAACGTGGAGGACAAAGCTGGAAGCTGTGGTTCCACAAGAGTTACGGGGCCTTCAGCACCACAGGTCCATTCCAGGTTTGCTTGACCAGCTCAGTGTAGCCATCACGGGCAAGAAACCGGATCTCTGGATGTTTTAAGCTTGGTATGAATTCAGGAAGGGAAGGAGTGTAAGGTGGCATTCATTCCCTTATGTGGGCACTACAGATTGGTGGGCATGCCATTGGTCCCTGTGAGTTTCTGCCCTGCGTCCAGCAGAATACAAGCCCATCATGAAGACTTTATGGGATGGAGGAGGGTCATATCTATGGCTAGAGGAAGTCCTCCCTTGGTTCAGCGAGTGAACCCAGGACCAGGCATGGGCTCTTGCAGCCTTGTTCTGACTCTGGATATACCAACTAGTCAAGAAAATTGGAAAATGTGAGTTTATTCAGGGTCGGATTCCATTTGGGGGAAATGTCATTTCTCCTCAAGAGATTCATATGGACCTTATCTCTCCATACCACATAAAAGATATTCTGTACTTGCCAGAAAGTTGGAGAGAGGCAGATGACATGGCCATTTTATTTTTTTAAAAAAGGGGGGGGGTAGTGAGTTCTGCAAACCACAGACAAGTGAACTTGACATTGGGCCTGGGAAGCATTCAGGCCAGATAACTCATGAAAAACATCTGTGACCCCTCAGAAGAGGAAGCACTGACGTCAAAGACCAAGTCATGCTGGCTTAAGCATGAGATTTCAAGCTATGAAATCTATAGACTCGTAATTCAAGGAAATATGATAGAAGTAGTGTATTTGCACCTGGAAGGTATATTTACCAAAATTCTTTCAGTAATAAGTGACAGAAATCCCGGCAAACTGGTTTTTCAAAAACTGAAAAGTTCTGGGGTTGGCCCAGCAGGATCCAGGGGCCAAGTGATGTCATCAGAACTTGGTCTCTCTCCCCTTCTTGACTGCTTCCCTCTGAGCTGGGCTTCATTCTCAGATCAGGTTCTTTTTATAGAGTGGTCTTGCAACAGGCTTATGTTCTCTCAACTCAGCAGCCCCTGTGGAAAAAAAGAATTTTCTCCTTCGGTATTTCCAGCAAACGTCTCAGGATTTGGTCTGAAAGGACCAGCAGCGCTCATGTGCTCATGCCCTTAAACCAACAGCTGAGGCCAGGTGTTGGGGATTGGCCCCACCTAACTACTGGGTGGAGAGGAAGGGAAGGGTGGGTACCCATGGGAAACTGAGGTTCTCTTGCCAGAAGAAGAGGGGTGGATTTGGGTCAGGCAACGGAAAGCAACAGGGGCTTCCCTGGTGGCGCAGTGGTTAAGAATCCGGCTGCCAACGCAGGGGACAGGGGTTCGAGCCCTGGTCCGGGAAGATCCCACGTGCAGCGGAGCAACTAAGCCCGTGTGCCACAACTACTGAGCCTATGTGCCACAATTACTGAAGCCCACGTACCTAGAGCCCGTGCTCCGCAACAAGAGAAGCCACCGCAATGAGAAGCCTGCGCACCGCAACGAAGAGTCGTCCCCACTCGCCGCAACTAGAGAAAGCCCGCGCGCAGCAACAAAGACCCAGCGCAGCCAAAAATAAATAAATAAATTTATTTAAAAAAAAAAAGGGGAAAGCAACAGATATCCGGAACCAAGCATTTGCTAAGATATCTTGTGATATTGTATAATGAGCATGAAGAAAAGGTGGGAGAAATGGTATATTCATTTGATGGGTGAATCAATATTCAAAATACTTTGATTAGAGGATGAATCCAAAAAAGAACTATACAGGATAAAGCAGGCAATGTGGCTTCTCCACTTTTCTATCTGTTTAATTAGTCTCTGAGCTCCACGACAGGTAGGAACTTTGGTTTTGCTCACCCCCGTGTCTGCAGCACTTAACATGGTTCCGAGAGTAGGCGATTAAATATTTGTTGAATGAACCAACATAGGTTTAAGATAAGGATCTGGGGGGTGGAGGTGGAGGAAAAGAAGAGGACTGAGTTGTTGGAGCCAGAGCACAAGTGGGCAGGGACTTGCTTCCAGGCAACTTGGTGGATCAGGTCCTGGTAGGAGGAGCTGGGGATCACATCCCAGGTGAGCCCTCAGGACTTGGTATAGAGCTGCTATGTATAGCGCATGGCCTCTGGCTCCTTAGAGAGTGAGAATGTTATGGTATAAAGAGCAGGATCTTCAGAGCTGGACAGAATGAGGTCTGCAGGCTAGCTGTGCTCTGCTTCTTTGGGGCGATCACTTAACTCTGAGCCTGTTTTCTCAGCTGTACAAAGAGATCGTACCAGTTTCACAGACATGAGGATGAAGAGAGTCTATGAGGCAGTGAGGCTCCTCTCCTAGCTGTACGACCTTCAGCACACTCCTTAAACTCATTGGGCCTGTTTCTTCGTCTGAAAAAGGGGCCAACCATGGCATGTTCATTCATTCATTCAATGCATATTTATTGAGTCGCTGCATTTTGACAGTGAACGAGACCAACAAAATCCCTGCCTTTCACGAGGCTTGCATTGCAGTGAGGGATAAACAATGGCATAACTAAGTGACAGAGGATGTTAGCTGACTTGTGACCAGGAGCAAAGCAGGGAGGGGGAAGTGAACTGTTGCAGGAATGGGAGAGAGGGAGAATTTTTCAATAGGCTGCCGGGGAGGAAGATGTGCTCCGAGTCAAGTCCTGAAGGGCATGAGAGAGCAGGCTTGGGACATCCAGGGGACACAGAGCCCCGAGCACAGGCCTGCTGCCGCAGCAGGCTTTACCCACAGCTGGAGGTGAGGTGGCCCAGTGAAAAGGAATTCAGGAACATATCATACCACTTTGGGTTTTTGGACTTCCTGGGCCTTGTTCAACACCATGGGTTGTGGAGTTTCAACCTTCTGGCTTCCTGATGCAGTCAACATCACGATCTCAGTGGAAAAAGTAAGAAACCACCCAAACTCCCTTCTGAAGAAACTTCTGATTTTCCACTGTACAACCAACCGTTGGAAGTCTCTCTCTCTCTTTCTCCCACTGTTTACTTAAGGTACAGCATACAAATCATAAATGTACGTGGCTGAATTTTTACCAAGTGAACACTCATACAACCAGCACCCAGGTCAAGAAATAGAATATAACTGGCACCCTAGCATCCCCACCTCAGTGGTCTTCACTGCCCTGCCCTGTCTTCCTACACCAAAGATCAGTTTTGCCCAAGTTTGAGCTTTTTATTAATAAAATTATACAGTATGTACTCTTTCATGTCTTGCTTCTTTTATTCAGCATCCTATGTGTGAGATTTATTTGTATTGTTGTATGTAGTGTGTACTTTCATTCTGTACCGTAGTTCACTGTATACGTTTACCACGATTCATTCGTTCTAGCCCCAAACTACAAACAACCTAAACATCTCTGAACAACACTGTACCGCGTATTGTGGGAACATTCTAGCACAAGTCTTTTGGTCCACCTTCAGCAGGTACTCCTAACAGCTGTCCTGGGCGGTTTAATCACCACATTCCTACCCCCAGCGGTGAAGTGTATGGAAGTCCCAGTTTCTCTACGTGTTTGCCAGCACTTGTTTTTTCACGTTAGCCGTTCTAGTGGGTGTGTAAATACGATTTCATTGTGGTTCAAGTTTGCATTTCCCTGATGACTAATGAAAGTGAGCATTTTTTCATGTTTTGGATATTCTTTTGTGAAGTACCTGTGTTTTGCCAATTGTTCTACTGGGTTGTCTCATTTATTTTTAATCTTTATGTATTTAAAAATGGACACATGGTTTACAAGCTTAACAAGTTACAGACCTATTCCTTGTATATTTTTCCAGGGATATTCTTTTTTACACAAATACAGTTTTACACTATGGACTTAATATACCTCAGAGGCCACTGCACACCACAGCATTCCATCTGTATGTATAACATACTTTATTTAATATACTGATGGCATACAGGGCGATGCAGCTTTTTGCTTCTACAAACATCCTACTGTAGCTACTGAAGTGCAAACATCTTTGTGTACATGGGTGAGTCCACCTGTAGGATAAATTCCTGAGTGGGACTGCTGGATCAAAGGGTGCGTACACTTAGATTTTTGTGATTCACATTTGCTATCTTGCTCTGCAAAGAGCTGAATAAATTGACAATGGCACCAATTTGGGCTGCCTTGCCAACAGAGGATCACCAAACTTTCATCTTTGCCAAGTCACTAGGTGAAAAATGCGGTCTCTTGGTACTTTAAATTTGCATTCATTCCTTTTACTTTGAATGAGGCTGAGGATCTTTCCACGTGGTTGAACAGAAGCTCCACTTTAAAAGAACTATTTCCTGGGATGAGTGGTTAGCTGGAAACTAGCTCCTGATGGGTAAACAGAACTAATCCTGAAGATGGGATGTTTCCCATCCTTGCAAGGGCCTCCAATGTTAGGTTTTTGGTTCTATGGGCCTTATGAAATCAAGGTGAGGCAAAAAACTGTGTTGAACCACAGTCTCAGAACGGGAAGAAACCTTAGAAATCAAGTCTGAGCTCATATTTTAGAGATTAAAAAAAAAAAAAAAGCTGAGGTTTGGAGAGGGGAAATGACTTGCAGAAGACCACATATCAAGTCTGTTGAGAAAGAGATGAAAATCCTTAAAAGAGTTGAATTGTTTTTGTCAACTGCTCTCATCCCTGTTAAATATTTTAATGAATGATTTTACTGTGCTATTTCCTTTAGCAACAATGCAATTGTAAAGTCACAATAAACAAGCCTATACAAGTGTGGGGACAGAGGAGAATTATGAGTCTTTTTGTGAAAGACTTTGAAATGGGTCAAAAAAAAATTATTGGGTGCCTTCAACGGACAACTAGGTGTTGTCATGCACACCCTTGGGTTATGTGGTTCTATGGATTTTTTTCTTTGCTTTAAGCTATTTATAACTCTATAGGTTTTGGAGAATCGAAAGCAATCCAAGTGATTCTGTTACCAAGGCTGTTGCCCCAGAATCATATCCCTGACCCTCCCTCGAATGGAAACCAATTATTCTTATCTAAGTTTCAGGAGGAAGATGCAAAGAGAAAAAAAATAAGAACTGGTTAGAACCAACCAGGCCCAAGATGGCCGAAGATTTGACTTCCAGTAGACCTTGAGCCTCATTATACTCTGACTGTAATATATTAGCATATGTTAAATGACACACCCACCAGGGCCAGGAAGTTGACGATTGCCATGACAACAACCAGAAAAGCCCATACAAGGACTGAAAAGGAGAGTTGCCACAGTTCAAGGTCCAAACCGCACCCCTGTTCTCCAGTAAGTCGGGAATATTCCTCCCACTCCTTCCAATTCCCTCCTTTTAACCTCGACCTGCAAATATATTCGGTGGCTCCCCCTGAATTGGGTGGAGAAGTCGATTTGCGAACTAGATGCCCCCTTTCCATTCTTTGGCCACTAAATACAGCTGGTACTGTTCCAGTCTCAGCACTGGTTTCATCGTTGTCTGTGCGAATCTGATCGGAAAAAGACAAGAAGTCTCGGCTGGGGCTAGGACGCCGGCGCAGGTCCAGTTGACCAACTTGGTAACAATTTTTGTCCACCGACATCAGACATACAAATGAATCTTGCCTGCTAGAAGTTCAATTGACTTCCCCATTGTAGAAGAAGCCAGAAGCAGCTACTAAGCAAATTCACTGCAGCCTTCCTCACTGCACACATGTGCCTGCCTTTCGGACTCATCTCTGAACCACATGTATCACCTTACCTACTTCCTCATGAATCAGTGAGTTAAATTAAATCTCTGACATGTGTTTATATTTGTATGACAGTCATGATTTAAGCATTTCTTTTTTTTTTTTTAAAGATACTCTTTTGGGGGGAGCGATAAATTAGGAGGTTGGGATTAACATACACACTACTATATATAAAACAGATAACCAACAAGGACCTACTGTACAGCACAAGGAACTATACTCAATATTTTGTAATAACCTATAAGGGCAAAGAATCTGAAAAAGAATAGATACATATGTATATATATGTATAACTGAAATCACTGTGCTGTACACCTGAAACTAACACGATATTGTAAATCAACTGTACTGCAATTAAAAAAAAAGATACTCTTATTTTGCTCAAAGCAAGTATATCTTAAGCATAGCAGGCACTTGTCTTGATGTTCTCCAAAGACAATCATCCTTTCTTTCAGCCTATGCAAAAAGAATTGACCACGGATTGGAGGCCTACCCCACTTTTCTTCCTCGTGGGAATAAACAGACCAGGAGATAGGAAGCTCAGGGAGGGCTGACTGAATGCACAGCCCCATTGTGAATGCAGAGGTACAGTAACAAAATTTTAAGCTTTCAAAGTTCAAATCCTGATGATTAATGCACCCCTTACTTCCAAAAGCTGGGCTGGATAAGCATTTCTGGGAGTACGAACGGTAAATTGTGAAAAGGTGGCTTGCAGGCAGTGGGAGTCTGATAGATCCCGCAGCTGCAATGACTGTTTCTAATCAATCTTACAAGTTAGTGGGTACTTAAAGAGTTTAATAACAAACACTGAGCGCCTACTTCCTAGCCCTGCGGAAATTGTCCCAAATATTGTAGGAAATACCACTCCCACCCCCACCCCCCCAAAAAAACAAACAAAACCCAACCACGTTTCCACCTTCAAAAACCTTAGGACTTAGCATCTGGAAGGAATCGCTGGGATGCCATGGTTTCCAGGTCGCTCAGAGGGGAACCAGAGGCTCAGCGAATCAGGAATCGCGCATCCAATGGCGCTTCCCCTACTCCCCACGTGCTTTCTGGCTCCGTCGTTCCCACTCGCGCTTCTCCATTAACCCGTGTTCCGTCCTCGCACGCCGTACAGGTCACACCTAACGCTGGCTCAGAAGGGCCACCGCGGGCTCAGTAAACCCGGGCAGGAACTCCTCCCCGAGTCAAAAAGCCTAGCCGCGCGGCTTGGACCTTGCGGTAGCACGTAGCCCTCATCCTTTCTCTTCCGGACCTCAGTTTGAATGGGTCCCTTTATTCTAGCGAGGGGACCTTGCGACTAAGAGTCGCCTTTCTCTGGGAAATGTCAGTCTTTAAGGTCCTCTGTCCCAGAGGGATCCCGGCCGCTGAGTCCCGGCAAACCACCTCAAACTCCCTTCTCCGCTGCCGGGAGCGGCGCGACCGGAACTGCGCAAACGCGGCGCCGCTGACCACGCGAGGTTCACTTCCGGGGGTCGTGCCGCCAAGCTCTCCAGGTTGGGCTCTGTCTCTCGTGTCCGCTCGGAGGCCGCCTCCCTCCGACCGGCCCGGCAGGACCGAGCCGAGCCGCGGGGCCCCCTCCGGCCCGGCCATGAGTGCGGCCGCATGATGCGTCCCTGCCTTGGCCGCTGCAGTCGCCGCCGCCGCCGCCGCAGGCCGGGAGGAGCCGCAGCGCCGGGCGACCCCGCCCGGGCCTCGGGTGAGTGCGGTGGGCCGGGGCGGGCTGCTCGCGCCCGGGTCTCCCGGCCACTCCAGGCCCCCGTCCGCCAGCCCCGAGCCCCCTGCTCCCTTTCCTCCACCCCACCCCGCACCTACGACCTTCCCGAGTTCCTCGGGGCACCTCTGTGCCAGCTCGTGACTTCTCTTCCAGGTGTCTCCTTGTCACTCCTTAGTGCATCTTTCGGGGTAGGGCCCGAATTGCAGCCCCAGCTTTTTGCCTGACCTTGGGTGTGACACTCAGGGCTCCGAGCCGCGGTTTTCTCCTTTAATAACTAATAACGGGGTTGTCGTTGGAGTCAGAAGAGCGGCAGTAAATCCTGTGTAAGCTGTAAGGAGTAGTTTATAGGCATGCATTACAGTGGGCTTCCTCTGACGTCGCCCATGGCTTCTCGAATGAATGCTCCAGTTCTTCCCTCCCTTGTAAGTTTTAATTTTTCTTTTTTATTCTTTGCCCACCTTCTTCCTTATCTTCCCTTCCCCTGCCAATGATCTTTGGGGGATTGCCTGCCAGGGCACCTGGGACAGTCAGGTCAGCCTTCAGGGCAATGTTTGCATCTTTTCTTGCTGTCGCCAAGGCTCATCTCTCCTGAGGCGTCATTGCTGCCTGAAACTAAGTTTCTTTTCGCTGTTAGATGGACACACTTTATTGGCTTATGGGTAACCAGTTTTTTTTTTTGGGGGGGGGTGTTAAGAACTGTTGAGGTAGCTGCTTTGTAGCTTCTTTTACTGACCAGGTGGTGTAAAGGGCTGTCCAAGCAACGCTACAGTGTCTAATGTTTGCAGTCTGCTTAGTGTTTGTACTTAATGTACATAGATTTATCTGTCTTACTACTGCTGTCTCAAATGGTCTAGAAATCTGGGCCAATGTATATTTCTTCTTAGACTCTTCACCTTAAAGATGATGAATTTAATCTGTTGATACTTTCACAAATTTTATTTGCTTAAAGTCACCTTTGTAAAAGTCAGATTTAATCTTTTTGATTCTGTCTTAACAAGGTTTACTTATCTGAAGTTACCTTTTCAGAAAGCCACCTTGGGGACTTCCCTGGTGGCTCAGTGGTTAAGAATCCGCCTGCCAATGCAGGGGACACGGGTTCGAGCCCTGGTCTGGGAAGATCCCACATGCCACGGGGCAACTAAGCCCGTGGGCCACAACTACTGAGGCTGTGCTCCAGAGCCCGCAAGCCACACCTACTGAGCCTGCGAGCCACAACTACTGAAGCCCACACGCCTAGAGCCCATGCTCCGCAACAAGAGAAGTCACCGCAGTGAGAAGTCCGCGCCCCACGACGAAGTGTAGCCCCCGCTCGCCACAACTAGAGAAAGCCCGCGCCGTAAATTTGCTTTTTAGGAAGTCAGAATACTTTTTTTTTAAAATATTTATTTATTTTGGCTGTGCTGGGTCTTAGTTGCGGCATGCGGGATCTTCGTTGCAGCATGCAAACTTAGTTACGGCATGCGAACTCTTAGTTGCGGCATGTGGGATCTAGTTCCCTGCCAGGGATCAAACCCAAGCCCCTTGCATTGGGGGCGTGGAGTCTTAGCCATTGGACCACCAGGGAAGCCCCAGAATACTTGATTAAAGAGAAAGGCTCTTGGGATATTTGAAAAACGGAATGGAACAGATGTCTTAAATTGTACCTCTTGAAGTTTCTGGTAAATAGAAGGGTCGAGTGACTGACATTATTTGGGTTGTGTGCTTTTAGGAGTGAGGCTGGTAGGTGGGCTTTTCAGTTGTGAGGTGGAGGAGCGTGAGACTATTTGATAGTAATTTCCTAAATAATTCATAAATCAACAACTGTTTTTTTTTTTTTTTTTTTTTTGCGGTACGCGGGCCTCTCACTGTTGTGGCCTTTCCCATTGCGGAATACAGACTCTGGACGCGCAGGCTCAGCGGCCATGGCTCACAGGCCCAGCCACTCCGCGGCATGTGGGATCTTCCCGGACCGGGGCACGAACCCGTGTCCCCTGCATCGGCAGTCGGACTCTCAACCACTGCACCACCAGGGAAGCCCAACAACTGGAACTCTCTATGCACACATCTCACGTCAAAGCAAAGTGGGTAGAGATGTATACAGAAGTTTTCTTTTGTTATTTTTTATTTTTTATTATTTTTTTTTACCAATGACTCAGAGCCTGCCTCAATTACAATGAGTGAATTGGGAATTTTCAGCCTTGCTAATCAATGCACTATGAAAGCAGAAATCCTCTTCTAGAAAGGACAAATATTAGCATGAATAGAGTGACCCTCTCAGCGACAGAGAGAAAGTACTGAAAGGAGCTTTGTATAAGAACAGTCTTGAGCCAGTCAAAAGTCTGGACATGCTTTTACATTCTTTCTGAAACTTACCTGCGAGGCTTGGACCCTTTGGTGACATAAATCACATAATCTTTGTTAATGTGAGGCAATGGAACGAGCAGTAAGTTCACATGTGAAGTTAATGCTTGGGATGAACGGAGAAGTAGTTTTCCTGATGATTCCAGAATTTCCCTGCTCCAATCCATGCTGAGCAGCTCTACAAGATAGTTTTCTTAAAGCAGCTTTTTGGGGGTATGTTTCTTAAAAGTAATGTTTTAATTACAGAGGTAATACATGCTTGTTTTGTTAAAAAAAAAAAAAGGAAGTTCGAACACTAGAGCAGAGGATAAAGTATAGAATCTAAACACACACTCTTGCTCCCTTTTGTCCCCAAAGCCAGTTTCCAGGGTCAGGTTAGCAACTTGTGTGTGACCCTTCAGCTGTAGCACCTGAGAAGAGTTTGGGCCACCTGCAGAGTTGGTCAACTACAAAGTTGAGAGGGAACAGTCCACACAAGACCACCGTCACTTCTGACACCAGTTGCAAGTCTGGGGGTTCGCCAAGCCACCCTCAGGTTCGATTACTAGCTAGAAGGCCTCACAGAACTCACTGAAAGCTGTTGTGCTCAGAGTTATGGTTTATTAAAGTCAGCCAGGTGAAGCGGCTCTCAGGACAGAATCTGGGGCTGTACCAGACATGGAGCTTCCATTGTCCTCTCCCCAAGGAGCTGGAACGTAACTGGCGTTGACACGAGACACTGTGCACTGGGTATTGCCAACCAGGGATGCTCACCTGAGCCTTGGTGTTTGGAGTCTTTATTGGGCTTCTGTGACATGGGCATAAATGATTGATTGATTGACCGCCCACAAGGTTGATCTCAGTTTCCAGGTCAACTGATACTGCGTGACCCAGAGCCCCACCCTAAATCATGTTGGTCTTTCTGGTGTGGCCAGTCCCCACCCTAAATCAGATTGTCAGCCGATGATAAAGCCCAGACCTTCATTTGAGCATGATTAAATTCTTTATTACACAGCATCCTTCCTTCATTCATGGTACCTTCCTTAAAAATATACTTTTTAAAAAGAGATGCAGACTCACAGCTATAGAACAAACCAGTGGTTACCAGTGGGGAGAGGGAAGGGGAGGGGCAAGATAGGAGTGGGGGATTAAGAGGTACAAACCATCATTAATAAATATGCTCCAAGGATATATTGTAAAACTCAGGGAATACAGCCAGTTTTTTTATTTTTTAATTTTTTTATTTATTTGCTTTGTTGCACTGGGTCTCAGTTGTGGCAGGCGGGCTCCTTAGTTGCAGCTCGTTGGCTCTTTAGTTGCAGCATGTGGGCTCCTCAGTTGTGGCAGGCAGGCTCCTTAGTTGTGGCTCCAGGGCTCCTTAGTTACAGCATAAATGGAATATAACCTTGAAAAATTGTGAATGTCATACACCTGAAACTTATATATTGTAAATCAACTATACCTCACTTAAAATTATATATATATGTGTGTATATATTATATATACACACACTTTTTTTGCTTTACCATTGACAGAGGACTCTCCCTTATAGATCATAGAGCAGAGGCTGCTGGGAGAGTTCTCTCAACTTTGACTCCATTCCAGCTGAGATATCTCTGAATGCCCTTCAGTCTTTTTCTTCCCCTTGCCTCTGAGGAGGAGAAAACGCCTCCTTTCCAGCTTAACATGTGTCTGTACTTTGGTCTGCCTGTTAGGGGACGGCATTTAGTCACTTACTCTCATTTGCCTCTGATTTTTTTTCTCTTTCACTCACTTCTTTGCCTCTGTCTACAGACGTATTCTTGTTTTGCTTACTAGTTCATTCTATTCTTGAAAAACCTCTAGTAGAATTTTAATAATTGTCTGATAAATCCAGGCTCTTCATGGGGCCAAGATAATGCCTTATATTGGTACAGCACCTCACAGTTTTGAAAACACCCTGCAGTGGTTTGTACATAGTGGGTGCGTGGTAAATAGGCAGAGAGCAAGAGTCTTCTAATTGGAGGAAACAGCGGGAGCAGAAGCACAGAGGTGTGAATAGGCCCGGCAGGGGAAGCAGGATGAACGCTGCGTGGAAGAGCCTGGAAGGGCAGGGGAGCCAGATTCAGTGGCGCCTTGAATGCCATGGTCCCAAGGTTTGGCGCCTCTGTTGGTTAGGGTTCTACAGAGGTACAGCCAGAGGTGAGGGTGCCTAAGCTTGGGTTGTGAGAAAGGTGGGAAGGGAAGGGTCAGAGCTGTAAGCAGGAAGCGTGGGCAGCATGTAGGAATGAGGGAAGAAGAGGCCTTGTGTCCAGAGGTTAAAAGGCGCTTAGTAGTGCTTCCCTGGTGGCGAAGTGGTTGAGAATCTGCCTGCTAATGCAGGGGACACGGGTTTGAGCCCTG